GTTTCCCTAAGATTTCAGAGTTGGTTACAGGTTCTCAGTAGCAGTTGGGTGCAGTGGAGGATTTCCTGACTGAAGCGCTGAGGCATGAGGTTGTGAATTCTGATCTGATGTTATCTGGGACCTATGATAAATTGGTGTGGCAGAGCTCTTGTGCTGGTAATTTCTCAGTTAAAGCAGCTTAGCAGAAGAGTAGGTTGAAGAAGAGGTTTGAATGCTACTGCTGCTGGCATTTGGGATATTCAGACTGCCCCTACTCCTAGTGCTCAGCTAGTAGGTTGGAAGATTTTAATGAAGGCTTTACCTCTGGATGATAGAGTTAAGCAAATTGGCATTCCTGTGGTAAGTAGGTGTTGTTAGTGGTATCAGAAGGAGGAGAATGCTGAGCATCTAACATCTGTTATACAAGAATGATTATAACAAGTAAGAAAGACAAGGGAAAAAAAAATCATCTGTAAAATACAATTTGCAAAAAAAATAAAAGTCAATTGAAGCAGGAGAAACTCATATACTTATCTTTTCACTCCTAAATTTGCTTTGCAAATGCATCTCAATCTAGTTTAACCCCTTATTCCTTCATAAGCTAGCATCCATTTTACAAACAACTGAAAGAAAGACACATGAAATTAATTATGCACAAAAAAAATGAAAAAAACCTTCGAAACAACAAAGAGCAATAAGAAAAAAAAAACGAGTGACATGTCCACTCACTTATTCAACAAGCACATATATACACAGACTAGATAACTTCATAACTGGGAGATTACTGCCTTGAAAGCCTCCCAATGTTCAACATGTTAAGTCCCTTCTCCACCGTCTTAATGTATTGTAATCAATATAAAATATCTAACCTTGTGACACAACAGTTAAAAGGCATTAAAATTTTAATGAATAAAAAATTGTAAGGAAGTAATTGGCAACAGAAGAGTCATAATAAACCTTAAATGATGATATATAGGTTATATAAAAGAGAAAACCATTTTTTTCATGAAGCCTCCCCCCCCCCCCCCAAAAAAAAAAAAAAAAACCAAAACTACAAACAAACAATTACTAAGGAAAAATATATATCAAAAGCATTATAAATAGAAACTGTCATATGCATTAAGGTATATGCTAAAGAAATGGTCACGTAGACAAAAAAGAAAACAAGCCTGTATGCCCTGTCCTCTCTTTCCATAAAGTTGTGTCATTAGAACTTGCACTACCAATGACACCAATTCACATCGGTCATTTCTATCCAAAACATAGTTTGATAACTATGAGAAATCCAAACCAAAGAACATAAGTTGATCGTTGAGATCATAGGAAAGATACTCAAGAATTTAAAGGTTAAAGACAAAAAAGAGAAGAAAAAACCTAACACAATCATACCTCAAATCAAACAAAATAATATTCACCAGTAAAAAGCTCACCTAAAGGTAACTTCATCACTGCTTAGATTGCCGCCTTGTAAGACTCCCAAAGTTCAACAAGTTAGTGTCTTCTCAAGTGTTTTAATGTACTGCAATCAACAGAGTATATCTAACCTCGTGACACAGTAGTTAAACGGTATGAAAATTTTAAGGAACAAAAAGCTGTAAGGAAGTAATTGGCTACAGAGGAGCCACATACCTTAAATTATGACAAGTCGACCAATTATAGCAAAGACCAAACCATATTTCTATCTCCTCCCTTCCTCCCCTCCCCACAAACAATTAGTAAGCAAGAATATAAATCGTAAGTATTTTAAATAGAAACTATCTTACGCAATAAAATACATGTAAAGGAAATAGTCACGTAAACAAGCAAGAAAACGAACCTGTACGCCCTACGAACGTATGCACACATGTCTTCTGTTTCCAAAGCTTTAAAATTGTATCACTAGAACTTGCATTATCACTGACAAAAAAAGAGAAGAGAAGTAAGAAAGAAGTTTACACAATCATACCTCAAATCAAAAGCAAAAATAATGTTCACCCATAGAAAACTCGCCTAAGAGGAACTTCATAATTGCTTAGATTGTTGCCTTGTAAGTGTCTCCCAAAGTTCAACAAGTTGGCATCTCTTCCATTGCCTTAATGTACTGCAATAGTAAAATGGTATAAAAATTTTAAAGAACAAAAAATTGTAAGGAATGAATTGACAACATAGGAGTCGCATACCTTAAATGATGAACAATAGACCAATTACGGGAAAGACCAAATCATATTTCTATCGCCCCCCACAAACAATTACTAAGGAAAAATAAAAATCATTACATTTTAAATAGAAACTATCGTATGCACTAAAATATATGCAAAAGAAAGTCACGTAGACATGCAAGAAAACAAACTTGTATTCCCTATGAATGTATGCAATCGTCCTCCCCTTCCAAAGCTCATTAGAACTTGCATTATCATTTAACAACAATTCATATCAGTCATTCCTATCCAAAGTATAGTTTGACAAGTGTAAAAAAAGAGAATGAAAAAGCTTACACAATCATACCTTAAATTAAGCAACATCATTTTCACCAGCAAAAAACTTGCCTAAAGATAACTTTATAACTGGTAGATTATTGCTTTGTAAGCCTCCCAAAGAGTCAAAAACTTTAAAATAGTCACATAATAACAAAGATACACATAATAAAAATAAAAACACAGACACATAAGGAGGCACATACACAAACACTTCGATAACATAAAAAAAATAGAGTAATAACCACACACACAAACACGTTATACACATCAAAACACAAAAACACTCGAGATAAGAAAGATATAGACATACTATCATAAAATCATACACGCCAACAACCACACCCAATAAACATAAAAACCTATACACCAAAAATAAACATAAAAACGCACACAATAACACATTGATTAAAAGAATACACTTACACTAATGAAAACACACCGTCCTCTTAAATCAAAAAATATACACACACTAATACACCAAAAAAATACACACTAACACACCAAAGACGCACACACACGTACATACACTATTACACAAATACACGCATATGCCCACACCACCACTGAAACAAACACACATAAACAAACTAATAAATACACACCCATGCACGTTGTGTTAACAAACACTTATACACCAGAATATACACATAATACATCAAAAAACATATACACCAACATACCAAAACACACTATTACACAAACACAAACACAACATACACCCACACACTAATACACCATCTAAAATCACACAAAAATGCATACATTCCATCACAAGTAGTGTTAACACAAGCTAATCCACCAAAAACACAGACACTAATATACAATAAATACACGTTATTACACGAACGCAAATGCACATAGACACTAATACACTAAAAAACACACACATTAATAAAAAAATCCATTAATATACAAAAAAAAATATATCATAAAATTATGAAAAATACCGGGGAACATTAAGAATAACATATCATAAAATAATAAAATTAATGTTTCCCAGTATTTTTCATAGTTTTATGATATTTTTTTTGGTATAAGGAAAAGAGTCGGACAAAAGGGCTGATCCAGAACCGAAAGGAAAGGTCGACGCAATAGATCAGAAAAAGGGGGTAGTATAAGAAGATCAAAACGAAAGAAGGTTGCAGGGATGCCGCAAAAGAAAAGGAAAATCCACAATCAGTTGTTGAGCTGAGACTTTTTCCTTTCTTGAAAGAAGCCAAAGCAACAGAAGAGAATCTTTCTCGGTTTCACCTAAACCAAAACACACACACAACCCAGCTAATCAGCATATGTATGCACACCCACACACCGTGTTAATACACACTAATATACCCCCAAAAAAAACGCAAAACATATGCTCCGTCGACCCACACTCATACACCAAAGAAACACACTCATATACTAATACACCTAAGAAACATAGACACACTTATATTTTGCCTAACGGTGCCAAGGCCTGGGGGCACAAGGCTAGCCAGACCCTTGGTGCCCCTCAACTATCTCCTCCCCTTATTTATGCTTAATGGAGGTTTTTCAAAGCGACTTTAGCGGACATCTTTTGAACTGCAGAAACATAACAACGAGAGCCTAGGACATAGCATCTGGACTTTTGTCGAACGCCTTAGCTACATCGCGTTACTTTGAATTTATGAGGTGTCATGATGCAAGATGCCACCAAGACATGTTCATTTTTGCATCCTAGTCAATTAGGGTCTGAAAACTAGTGTGATCTTTTTTCATAACTTACAAATTTAAAGATCATCTAAAATACGATAATTACTACCGGTGAAAACTTTCAAACAACCACCACAATTGTTAAGAAAACACATTATTAATATTTAAAAATGAAAAATAGAACATCTACTCAAAGATATTCAAAAGGAATAAAAATGTAAACATGTAAGGAGCCGACCTGTATGCTCTTCAAAAGTATGTGCAGAGTTGTGTCACTTAAACCTGGATTACCATAAACAAAACCGCCATTGTTCATTCGTATCCAAAGCAATATGGTGTAGGATCTTCAAGTTTTAACATCAGTGCCTTTGTAGTTCAATAACTGCAAGAAATCTTAAGCAAAGGATGAAGATCGAGAATGATAATTAAGAACTTTACGAGAAGAGAAAAGAAAACGCTAAAAAAATCATACCGCAAAATAAATACTACACAATACCCAAAGATAAACCAACCTCTTGGATTGCCGCTTTATGAGCCTCCCAAATTTTAATAGGTTGGTTTTTCCTCCATCTTTAAGGTACTGCATTCAATAAGCAATATTACACATTGAATCATAGCAAAAAAATTTAAGAAATAAAATACTATAAGCAAGTAATTGACACAAAAATTCAAGTAATTGTCACATTGAGTTATGGCACAAAAAATGTAAGACATAAAATATTGTAAAGAAGTAATTGGCAGCAGAATAGTTTTATGCCTTGAATAATGACTAGTAGAAAAACTACAGCACAAACATGTAGACAAAAGAGACTCATAAAATAACACTTTCAAATTGAAGATCAATTGCACCCATGCTCCCCACACTATTCAGATTATGGGAAACTGACTTACCACATATAGAGTTTTTTGTATTGGAGTTGCTAACCCAAAGAGAGTGACATAGAACCACAAATTGCGAAATAGCTTCAAAAGTGCAGGTTCCACATATACAGTAGGATCAAAATCTGAACATATTTCAGCCACAGCAAGAAGTAGAGGTCCTAGAAAATCTGCCCCAAGTCTCTGCCTGTTTGAAAAAATATATATATTACAATGAAAGTTTATCCAAAAAAGTGCAACATATTGCAGAATCATGTTACCAAGATACGCCCCAGCTGTAGGAGATAGCCCGAAGCAAACAAATAATGTAACCGAGCACAGTACTTATCACAAGGGGTTTGAAGCGAATGAGCAAGACATGCAGCAGCTGACCACATTGAGTGAGAGCAATTTAGGAAATCCCAACAAGCAATGAGCTGAAGAGCTCATCACAAATTCTCAACTTTTGCCAGACACAGAATAAACATGCTTCAGCAGCTTCTATCAACAATGCCAAAGTTCCATGCAACAACCTCTTTGATGACTTCCCATTCAAATCAACAGATGAAAGACTCTTGATTTGTAACCCCACTGCAGCTTGGTAAACCGACAGCTCTGTATTGATTCTAACTTTCAGTAACTGCCCCTGTTCCGTCCAGTCACGCTTCCATATCTGCCAACAAACCCAAACATTTTAACCAAATTTTTTCATTCATCTCTATAGTTATTTCATCAAGACATCAATAAATTTCGAAACCAAAAGGATGGATACCCATGAATTTTACCTTTAGGAAAGCCAACATTGATTGGAGTTGCTCCTTTGCAAATTGCGATGGCCCTCATTTGTTACAAAAGCTTAAGATCAATCTGGACTTTATCCCAATCAGCTTGAAAGCAATCTCCTGTTGTTGAAGGCTCTCCACAGGCTCTTTCTCAAAAGAGGCTACCAATCGCTTGTACGTTGCGGAACCGCCTCGTCTTCATCATTGAACCCAATATCAGCCCCAAATATATCCACATTGCTCTTCCACGCAAGGCTGCCCCCTTTCATCACCAATCCTTTCGGCCACAATGCACTGGTCGCCTCATCTGTAACCCTTGAAGGGTCACCGCTAGAAGAACCAGAGGCATTGCTGACCTCATTCCTGGACTGTTTCTCTCATTTGATTGATAATGGTTTGCACTGAGTGGCGAACACTGAGGCGATGACGCTTCAGGTGTTATCGAAACTAGCTCCCTCGGTGAACTAGGAACCGAAATTTCAAATCGATCTAGAAGAGTGGACACTAATCTGTTTGCATTAGAAAGAAGAATTGGATGAAAATTCTGCGACAGAGAAACCCCCAAATCTCCACTGGCATTGTTAATCGCCGACATCACAATCTCTCCCGTATACTCCGCAACGGCCATGGCAAAATCCGAGGACAACTCACTGGCTTCATTCACATAACTCAGGAAATCAAAAGATTGAATCGCTTCCAAACGACTGTGGCAAAAAAGATTGGGCAATAGAATACGGAATCGACCCAAACAAGACGATGACGCTTCAGGAGTTGTCGAAACTAGCTCCTCGGTGAACTAGGGACCGAAATTTCAAATCCATCTAGAACAGTGGACACTAATTTGTTTGCATCGGAAGGAAGAATTGGAGGAAAATTCTGCGACAGAGCATTCAAGAAAACCTTGAAACCCCCAAATCTCCACTGACATTGTTAACCGCCGACATCACAATCTCTCCCGTATACTCCGCAACGGCCAATGGCAAAATCCGAGGACAACTCACTGGCTTTATTCATGTAACTCAAGAAATCGTACGAAGCAATTGAATCGCTTACAAACGACTGTCGCCAAAAAGATTGGGCAAAAGAATACGGAATCGACCCAAAAAACCCTAGGACTGCCGGTTAGGGCCTCATGTCGTCGAAATTGGGGCATTTAGAAAGAAATCTAGCGGTGGCGAGTACAGAGTCAATTGGTGGACATCGTCCACAAATCCAAGCCAATTTATCAGCAAATTGCGAAGGATTTTGTGCGATCAGATCGCAGAGTTCGATCATCGACTCCATTGCTTTACAATGCTGAATATTTTCGGAGAGAGGAGAGAGAAATCATCTGGTGGTGGAATTTAGGGTTTACGGACATAGATCGTAGGCGGAGGTTCGTAAATTGGGACTCAGGAGGTCGATGTCGTCTGCTGAGTTTCTGATTTTATATATATATGTTGTTGGTTGTGTCTCTCTGACGAGATCATTGGTTTTAAATCTCTGATTTTGTTTCCTTTTTCTTTTTTGTTACCGTTGCCCCAAATTTGGAAAGTTGGACTCCATTGCTATACTTTCTTTACCTCCAAGTTTTCTCAATTGACCGTTTGATTCAATTTTTGTTACTTGACATCAATGAATTAGGTCCCTAATTAAGTCTCTAAATTAGATATTTATAATATTATTATTTATTTTTTATTAATAGGTTTTTAATAGATTTTTATCTATTTAATGATGCAAGAGTTCTTAGAGAGTTTCTATAATTATGATTAGTTAGGTGAAATAAATTTTTAATTGAACGGTTGTAATTATTTAAATTCTGAAATTAAGTTTAAATAATATTTTTTCTTCTTTTAGGTCTCTATGCTTTGAATCGAGCCCTGATTTAATTACAAATATGTTTAATACAAATTTGGGATAATTTCTTTTAATAAGTTTTATTTATTTTTAATAATTGATTTGGTATAAATAGTTTTTAAACCACCAAAAAAAAAATAATTGTAGTTAGAAGGGTCGTGAGTTTTTCATTAAATTCATTCTCCTCAAAATGTTAATCTAAATGTAGTCACTTTCAAACTTATTTCTCAGACTCATTTATTTTTTGAAAACGTTGCTTTAAATGATGAGATACAAAATGAGTTCAAACACTCACCTTTCTTCTTCCACTTTTCTTTTCTACAACCAGCCCATTATATCTAACCATCGGTGGACGCCTCTTCATATCTCTTTCATTTACCTTAGTTCACTATCAATATCCACCAGCAACCACCTATACTTTTTCTTTTCTTCCTTTTCATCTTCTCCAACCGGTCGTCGCCCATTACCACCTCTATTTTGATTTTTTCAAATGAAGTGAGTTGGACTCAAATCAGTCTTAGATTTTTCTGTTTTGATTTTATGTGAATTAGTGTTGGGTACTTGTCAGTGTTGTTGATGGCAGTGTGTTGTTGGTGATGGGTGATTTGGATTTTGGCATGTTTGGTGAGGAATAGAAGAAAGATTAAAGAGTGGTAATGTAGTAACGGCGATGGAGGCGCAGTTACAATGCAGAGAGGTCTTTGGCAATGACACCAACGGTGGTGCTCCGATTTCGATTTCATTTTGATGTCAGAATTTAAATTGAAATTTTGTCTTCGAATTCTGATTCACAACAGCATCGCACTCATGCCACAACATTGAACTGGTGCAGACTTGCTGAAGAAGAAGATAGAGTAAAAATGGTTGAGTGCATTGCTTTTGTATACCGACAAATGGACACCCCTACAACTATCTCTTCGAAACCCAAGCTTGCATTTTATGAGGATTCCAAGAAGCCAACTATCTAAATTGCAACACGGCAGCAGTAAAATGACATTATTCAGTCACTTTATCTACCACACAGTGTACGCAAAAAAAAAAACACTCTCTTGGAGGCTTAAAACGATAGTAGCTCCTGTTGTTCAATTGAAGAACATATGCTGAAAAAGGTTGGTATTTTCCATGCAACATATTAGTCTGCGAGTGATACCTGGTCTTGATATGCATACGGTTGCTTGATAAACAATTATTGTAATTGTTCAAGTTTATTGTCTCATTAGATTTATTATTTTTCAGAAGTTCGTTAAGAGGGAAAATGGCTGGATTGGAATGAAGGGCATTTATCTTTTTGAAGTGTATCATTGGAGCCAGAAATATTTTCTATTCTTATGGGTTGGAAGGCATTTACATTCCAAGAAGAAGGTGGAGGAAGAAAATTGAAATCATTAAACGTGTGGAAATCAATTCTTTTTATGTCGACTGTAATGCAGATGACCTTATTTGTGCCCAAATAAAGGTGTAGGTGTCATGTGTTGCTTAGATATTCTGAATATAAATCTTGACAATCGTATTGAGGCCAGACCACAAAGGATTTATCGTTCATGAATACTCTAGTCCCAGCGTAGATGGCTTGCCTATCACCAGGGAAGATAGCCGAGGTGTGTGAAAATTGGACCAAACACTCTGACCATTTGAACAAAACAAATAAAGCCTTATATTGAAGCTGGAAATGACCATAATTTTCCAAAGATAACCTTTAGGTAGGTCCTCTGATGAGCCCAAATCTAACTGAGTCAGACCCAATAAATCAAGTTAACCCAAATCAACTAAAAGACAGATCGAGCTCAGTTCGTGAATTCAACCCAACCCAAGGTCCGAAGAGTTCAAGAAGAATTAGAGCACGTGGAGAGAAATCATCGGGATACACACCCTCGAGGATCAAGGCTACCTTAATTGCACTTACCTTTTGTAGCTATCCTCTCCGAAGACCTAGTACCTTCACCCTCACGTTACCGCCTCAACCAAGTTTCTGTGCCTATAAATTGTAAGTCCTTTCTACATGAGAGGACACAGTGATCTCACCACACCTCTCTACACACTTTCTCTCTCCTAGCTATTGTACCACTCTTGGAGCTAGCCTTGTCTCTCCCTTTCTCTTACTTTATTTCATCAATAAAGGTTCACCAGCCACTGTAGCCATTTCTCGGAGTGGAATAAGTCATTCGGACTGAACCACTATATATCTGTGTGTTGATCAAATATTATTTTTTTGCCATTGATTACTTTATTAATTGTCTATTAATTATACCTTATCACATACTCGACTGTTGATTTTGCACGAGACAGTTTTGTGCATCAACAGTTTGGCGCCATTTGTGGGAATCGACTAAGTTTTCTACTACCTTACTACTTCATGGTAATCACGACCAAGTCGATAAGTCAACAACTGGGAAATAACAACCTGCCCCCCCCCCCCAAAGGGGGCTCCACCTCCCCTCGCACCCTTGGAACCATCTGCTACAACGACTCCCGTCGTCGGACAATAGCTTCTATAGACTATGCTGCCACTGGTAAACCAGAATCAACAAATCATTTAGTTGATGTTCGCCAAGGGAAGCATCGCCCCTCAGCCCGTAGGAGGAATACCACTCCCTCCAACGGGAGAAGCACAACAACCTATCCATTTTGGGCGCCAACCAACCCCCCACCATGGGTCCCCTCACCCAGTAGTCCCTCCTCAGTGCGAAGGAAGCTCACATGTTCCCCCTCCTCATGTACCTGTGCAATAGAACGAAGGAGAAAACAGTATGCCGATCATGGAAGCCATTACAACAACCCGA